TCGCCAGGTGGCTTCGTAGGCTTTTCCGAAGTCATTTCTAATTCGCTGCCGACCGTCATGATGAGTCAAGGGTTCCATCTTTCTTGCTTGCTTTCTTGCTGTAAGGATTGCTAATTCCTTTGAGGTCGAGACCTTGTCCATCCTCCACTCTGCGGGCGCAGACCTGTCCCTCTGGCGGGTTGCTTCCCCAGGTCTTCTGCGGGGTCCCAAAAGCAGTAGCGTTTTCGCTTCCAGCTAGATTTGTCTGTAGGCGGGTTCGTGGAGGAAAATGCGCTCGTATGGAGGAAGAGTTCCTCAAGGGACCATGTCGCTCTAGATTGCGTTCATCGTAGTAATAAGTTTATCTTACACCAGCTGTTCAGTAGGATTCGCTGTTGCCAGCCCAGATAAGATTTGGGAACTGTTGCCCTGTGTGTCCCAGCTGTTGCGGCTGGTTGGTATGAGAGCACAGCAAGCCTCCTGCCTCGCTTCGAAGATTGCTCACAATCGTTCTGTCATATTCATTTCTCGTTCAGAAGGATCGGGGCTTCCCAAGCTAATGTGGTGGTGTAGATGTTGGATCATGTTGAGCAAGCCTGCCAGAAATTGCCGGCGAACAGACGGTGCCACGCCGCTAGATTTCGCCGTGGACTGCGAGCAGGGTGAGGCTGAGGCGGGCCTCAGGGCTTTGCAGTCCTTGGTGGTTGCTTGAGGTAATACCTTCTGGTGGACCGGACACACCGCAGTTACAGATGGGTAGCCTTGCTGTAGGGTCTGCCTCAGGACACGAGGAAGGGGAGTCATGACGAGTCTTGCCCTGGTATAGCAGACTGATGGATGTGAGGCTTGGCTTAGGGCCCGTGGTGCGGTCCATGGCGTCCTGGAGCAGTAGCGCTGCCACGTCTCCTGCCCAAATCCGAGAAGCACTTTCAGCGTCTTAGCCATCTTTGTGCTGATCTTAGTCTCGCGAGCGCGCTTGATGAAAACGGTCACGTTGCTTACTCTGAATTGGCTTTCATGGCGTGCCTCATGCTTCCGTAGAGTCAGGCACATGCTACTTTTTTGCTGCAGCAACAACCGGCGCTGTATTTGTGAGCACGTGGGAAAGTCTCAATTTATTCTTCTGAAGTTGCACATTTTCATAAAGTATTTGAATACTCTGGATGTGTAGATATATTTAAGTGAGAGTCAGCAATTGAAAGCTATCAGTTCTGCCACTTGCTGCCTGCCATTGCGGTCAATCTTGGCCCAAAACCATCGGTGTAATTGTTGCTCCTTCTGCGAGTTCTTTTGTGCCTTGGCAGCAAGAAGGCTACTCAACAATGCCTGTTTTGCATTACGACAAACCCTGATGTAATTTCCTTTGCCCAATCACTACTCACCCCTTGGAGGGCACTACATGGGAAAACCTTGGTTGATCATTGGGGGCTGGGGCTTCATGCTGAGGAGACGACCATAGAGGACACTTGAGCTATCAACGCCATGGTTCCTGGGAAAACCATGGGTAGACATATCTTTCTTCAGAGAAATACAGAAATTCAGTGCAAAACTCACTGTCCGAACGATGTTCCATGTCATGTCTTCCAGCTAGATGTGACTTGCTGATGGCCATGTGCTGCTGCTCAGGAACGCCTTTTGTAACGGTTTCTCCGCTGGGGCCGACTTTGAACTCTTGTGTCCCGTCAGCACAATTCTTGACGCTTGAGAAGTAACAGTGTGGCAGCTGAGGTTTCATGTGGGCTGCCGGTGTCCGTAAGCCAGATGAAAAATCTCTTAAAGCTTGCTTTGAAGGTGCAGCCTATAGGGACCATGTGGAGCGAAACCGCAATATGCCTTTAACACAGACGAAGGAGCCCTAGATAGCAACGGCAGGCCCAAACCGTTCGGAAAGGGGCATGGGGCAGCTGAGCTGGTATCACTTTGAAAGTTGAGCTGCAGAGCACACAGCCCCGTAATCACATGTGAACAGTCGGGCTCAACACTGCAGGCAGGGCTTAGGAGCCATGTTCAAAGTAAGTAGATAGGCTGCGGGGAGTCTGCAAACGCATCGTTAAGACCTCGGGTTGAAAACCGGATCCCCCAATGATGGTGATGATGCTGGCCTCCAAAGAGTGCCAAAGGTGCTGGATCCTCATATGGGCAGTGTCAAGAGGGACATTGGGAGCCCAGATGGGCTGGGGAATACTAGTATCATCACCCCCCTCTAGGGGACACCAAGCAAAACGTAGGTCCGCAACGTCGTAAGTAAAAACGACGCTGAAATGCTAGCGCTTGTAAACATTCAAAGTGTGATTCTTATCGTGGCAGGCGCGCAGATATGGCCCTGGAATTTTCAATCCTGAGGGCCACTCCGTACGTATGATGCCGTATAGCTTCTGCGTACTCCACATGCTGCCGTATCCTCAGGCCATGTCCTGCTTTGCCGGCCTTACCGGCTCAACCGCCGTGTCCGCTGGGATCGCTGACCGCGGAAAAGGGCGAGGCCGTGCCAACACGAATTCATGGAGATATGCATTCGTATCGGTTACGCCATCTCTAGTTCCATTGTTGCTTCCTCAGTTCCGATGATAGCTAGCTGAATTACACATTTTGCGGTCCCAAGCTTCTGGGTCGAGAAGGCTTTCTTGGACACGTCTAGTGCAGACGCCAAAACCAAGACGGGGCGCATCAACATTAAATGTTTGCCCATGGGCTATTGTCAAGACCACTCAGCTTGCTGCGAGGTCGTGTGTATGCCAACATCACGGCCGCTTGACTGAGTTTTTGCTGCCATGCTTACGCTTACTCGTTTCATCCGAAAGCAATCACAGAAATAGTGGTGGGCCCAGCAAACAAGAACTGTGACACAATCAGCTACATTCCCCCGAAACCGCGCTCAGGAAACCGTCGGAAACACACCTTGTGTGAAGATCTCCGACGAGATTTGCCCAAAGGGTCGCACCATCTATGCCAAGCTTGAGTATTTCAATCCTCTCTCCAGTGTCACTTGGCCGAGCTGCAGAGACCGGCGCCTTGGAGGACTAGAGCTCTGATGCCCAGGCCAATGCTACACAAGTGATGTGGTTTGCATAGTTATGCTTGTTAGCATGCTCACGATTTCCAGTGACATCGTCGCGGTTCTCATTTCAACGTTGACGTTGTTAATCGTGACGCTACTCGTTCCTGACTAGTTTTTGAACTGCTTTCTTCTGACGACTTTCATGTCTATGGCTGTGCATTACTGCTGGCATCGTGATGTCTACCCGAGGTCAAGGACCGTCTGGCTTGCGCCATCATCGAGGCTTTCTGGGGTTGGGGGCTTTGTTATGCAAAGGGTCAGGGTGTTGAGCATGGTAGAGGTACCAGCACAAAAATGTGCTGACCATGCCATCTGTCTGGACAGGATGCCGAGAAGAAGGGACAGCTGAAGCCTGGCGACACCGTGGTCGAGGCGCCAATTGAAAGCACAGCCAAAGGTACGATACATCCGAGAGCTGTGGTTTCTGGCAAAGTGGCTCTGCGGTTTTGCATCAAGGGATGCTTCTAGACCGTTGGTCGTCAAAGCTTGCATCCATTCAGGCTACCTCTGGAAACACAGGCATTGCTGTGGCCATGTTGTGCGCCCAGCGTGGCTACAAGTGCCTTGGCATAGCAAGACATATGCGGTAACCGTATGAATGGGTTTGACCAGGCGCAGGATCAGAAGCAAAAGCAACTATGGACTGGAGTGGGTCCAAGTCATGGTCGTTCACCTAAGCCGTATACCAGAAGCATTGTGCGCAGGTGCGTCATCACCATGGCTGAGCCCTTCTCCATTGAGCGCCGCAAGCTGATGCGATTCATGGGAGCCAAGGCTTCCGCAAAAGTGGCATCAATTGCATTTTTCCCTGCCATTTTCCCTCACGTTGGCTCTGCATAAAGCCGTGCTTGACAGGTGATCATCACCCCCAAGGCTGGGAAGGGAACCGGCATGGTGGCCAAGGCGAAGGAGCTGGCAGAGAAGCACGGTTGGCCTCTCATCAGCAGAGACCGTGTCCAGCCTGTCCGAGTTTCTGCATTTCTTGTTTGCTCTCTGCACTTTCCAGACTTTGATGTACCTCGATCTGTGACCGCGGGAAAGATACTGAAGATATCCTTTTTCCCATGAGTCCTTCACTATCACGCATGCTGCGTGCCGAGGTTCCTGTGCCGGCAGTTTGAGAACGAGGCGAACGCCGAGTTCCACTACAAGACCACAGGCCAGGAAATTATCAACGACTTCGAGGGCATGAAGCTTGACTATTATGTCCTGGGCTATGGCACTGGTGGCACCTTTGCAGGGGCCGGGAAGGCAATCAAGGAGAAGCGCCCGGATGTGAAGATCTGCTTGGGTGAGCCGGCCGATGCCCCACTGGTGGCCTCGGGCACAAAGAGTGAGCGAAACCCAGATGGATCTGCTACTGGCTCCCATCCTGCCTTCAAGCCCCACCCCATCCAAGGCTGGACCCCGGATTTCATCCCGCAGATCGCTGAGAAGGGCATCACAGAGACCGGCTATGATGAGTTCATCCCCATCCCGGGCCAGGCCGCCATTGAGATGTCCCAGGCTTTGGCGAAGACCCAGGGCATCTTCACTGGAATTTCCGGCGGTGCCTCCATGTACGCAGCTGTCGAAATGGCCAAAAAGGCCCCGGAGGGCTCTGTGTTGGTGGCGATGCTGGCTGACACGGGTGAGCGTTACCTCTCCACCCCGCTCTTCGCCTCCATCAGCGCGGACATGAACGAGGAGGAACTTGCCATCTCAAAGTCCACGCCCAACTTCCAGCTCTGAGGTGAGAACGTCGAAGTAGCTTGGAGCCCTTGAAGGCTCCCAATCTCCACTTTGGACTGCGGAATCAGTTTTGCAGACAGAGCCCCAAAATTTGGAGGTTGCGCGATTTAAACGAAAAAGGCCACCTGTTCTCTGCTGACCTGCCTGCGTTTCCTGAGCCCATGCGCTCTTCAAACACTGCAGAATTGTGGCTGCTTGCAGTCTTGTAGTTGTAGATGACCTGCTCGTCCAGGACACCATGGAGGTGACACCTGTTGGGACCAAGACCGTGAAGGACATTTCTGGACTACTTGCAGATTGTGCGACTCATAAGTTCCCTGCAAGTTACAGCATGAATATTGGGACGGCAGCATTAACGCTGAGCATGAAGCTGTGCAACAACGATTTCTTGCAAGTTGTAGTGATTGTAGTGCTGCTGGGCCAGAAGCTTCGCCATGCTTCTGCACAGAAGAGCGGAAAATTAAGTAATCTTTGCTTAAAAGCATTCAGTGGTTCATCTAGCCATCCCGCATACCTGTCGCAGCTAATCTTCTGAAATGAGACTGCCGGTGACTGGATACAGTAAGCTGAGCAAGCAAAATCCTGCTGCGCCACTCCCGGTCGTCGCCATGCCAACAAATGTGAGATTATTAACGTTCAGTGAGGACTGGTGTAGTTACTACCATAACCTTGTTGCTTCCTCTCCTTTAAGTCATTCTTCTCTCTCCAGCTGTGATATCATGTCGACGTTGCTCTGATAGACAGTTTCAAACTATAAATCAATGTTTGTGTTGAGCCACTCCTTGTTTTTGCCGACATTCTTATTATGAGCAGTGTCATGACGATGTAGTACCACGGCTGTTGTAACATGGTGAGTGTTTTTATGACGATGCTGTCAGGAGCAGCGCCCTGCGACTGCCGGAGTTCCTTCTCCGGTCCCAGCAACAACCTTGCGAGAGAGAAGCCTGGTCGGCATTTAATGTGCGTACAGAAAACTACCAGAATCAAACGTGAACTCCACGTCTATCTCCCTCTCTGTTTGAGCAACTTTCATAGGAAAGGGCCTGTCTGCTTGGTGCCGTCAGGCAGTTTCTTGAAGGAAATGGGCTTTACCTGTGGTGCTTTGTTTTAGCACCAAGGTGAAGGCGAAGGCCAGGCTGGCAGTGTGATGATTGTGTAAATCTCGAAGTGACCCTTACAAATGCAGAGTGCTGGAACACTTTCACTCCGTTCAACAACTCAGGCGCAAACTGTGAGTGAGTAGGTAGCTGAATGATTGGCAGCTCGCTGACATGTGTGAGATAGGGAGAGAGCTCGCGGATTGTTCCACTATCGGCCCAGATGATGATCACAGCTGGGTGCAAGCACTCCGAGCATTGCGGCCTCCACATTTGCACTTCATGTAGGCTGCTGTATGCCGCCTTTGCGCAGGACGCCCCACGTGGGAGATGACAAGCCAGTACATCGGCATTGGCAGGTGGAGGACTTCAGCTCACCATGCTCAGTGTCTTTGGCAAGGTCTTTGTGAGTGGTATGAGTGTCGCGACATGTCGCGACCATACATCCCGCCAGTACTTCTGGGGCCATTTCGCAGCAGGCGATGGACTGGTCCCTTTCATCAGCTTGAGGGGAAGTGTCAAGAAAGAAAGCACGTGAAAGAGGAAGCAGGAGCTGAAGGAGCCGGACTTAAACATAGTGAAGGAAAGTACCAAGCTTCATTCCAACAAGGATTCCAGCATGCCCCCTCCCGAAGATCTGCAAGGTTGCCACGACTCGGGTCTTTGTAAAATACGTCCGCAGTCAAGCATGTGTATGCGCGTGAGGAACATGCTCAACTCGATGATCATCTTCGCTCTGGTGCTTTTCATCTTCTTGCTGCTTTGATGGCATGGTTGGTGTAGGAGCGCACTGTTAAAAGGTTGCATCTTAGAGGGATGGGCTTTTTCAACCGCCTTCTACAGATGAGATTTTCGACTAGCCTGATCTTGCATCAGCAACCAGAACTGCCGTGTTTATCTTGCCAGCCTTTTTAGCATTCTTCAACGTGAACCGGGCATACTCCGTGAGCCGGAACTCTAATGTCTGTCACCTCGCAGCTGTAGATACTAAAAACCCTCCAGGCTTTGCGACATCTCGCTGGCCAACTGCACAAACGCCCTGGCGCTGGACTCCACTGTGGTGCTGTGGAAGCACCTTATGACTTGGAGGTGTTAGGCCTCATTGGGAGAAAGGACGCGCTTGCGTTGGGGAAGGGCGGGCAGGCGACTCTGGCTTGGAGGCCACTTCAGAGTCGTCTAGGTCTTTCGAGCTAGTGTAGATCTCAGCACAGAAGCCCTTGGGGCATGTTTCGGCAGACTTGCAGAAGGATTTGTGAGGCTTCAAGGGGGCAATCCGGGCAATGGCTTCCACATTGCACTGCCTGTTGGCCCTGCTCCACTCTGCACACGTAGAGCATGCTCCGTTGTTGATGTGTTGCTATGCCATGAATTTTCCAGAGTTGGTTCATTATGCATTGAGGCCCGTCAGCATTCTGCCGCTGAGGGAACCGCCTGCTTCGATTTTTTTCCTTGCATGCCCTGCCATTCCACGCCAAGAGGATGAGAAAACATGATTTATCTGAGGAATTACAAGAATCAATACTAGCAATTAGTAGCAGCCCCCTGGATTGTACAACGGCTAGTGTTTATTTGGATTTTTCCTAGCAGGAAGCCCTAGCATCATAAGTTGGTTGTGGCGTAGCCTGAGGCCACGGGACGATACTTTGGAGGCTACTTGCCAGGACCTCGGCTTGCTCCAAAGCGCTGCGTGACGTGGTTGGGTTGAGTACCCCTAAATCCCCTCAACGCCACAGCCAGCAACCAGATTTGATCGGGAGTGTACGGAGATCCGAGCGGGAATGAACCCGCAATAACTCCGAACTCATAATGGACGTGTACGACCTCCATGTATGGATGGGATCTAGAATCCCTTATTGTTGTTGTGCTGGGAGTCGCTATGGGGGTGTAAGTAGTGAGGGGCCCGTGACATTCGATCTTCCCCCAGCTGCGCGCGCCTCGTGCCTCAAAGTACATGCCCGCCAGTGTTTGATATCCATGACATGTGGTTATTTATGCATATTTATGCGCCACACCTGTTTTGGCAAGAAGGCATCACCTCCCCCTGAGACAACCCCTGCAGGCCCTACAGCTGCTTGTCAGTTAAGCCAATAGCTGATGTTGTAACAGCAAACTCAAAGTGTGGCCTTTTTGTCAGGGGAGCTGGCTATGCCAGGTTCTGGATGACAATGGGCGTCACAGGCCTCTACGTTGGCTGGATCTACGGAGCAGGTGGGCTCTCCTTAAGTCGTGGTTGCAAGATTCAGCTGCCTTCTTTACCCTTGTAGGTTCATGGGGAGTTGGGGCTGACACTGTGACACATCACTTAGACTCCTGCCCCGAGACCCTGGATCTTATTCGAAGGGCAGAAGCAGAGCTGTGGTACCGGCCACATCACCTATGCCTAATGCCTGTTGTTGTGTGATGGCAAGTAGCAATGGAGGCTTCTCCCTGCGCATCTCCAACCACATCCACTGCATCTGGGACGAAGCATGGAACACTTCGGCCTTGTAAGCTTGGAATGTTTACGGGCACCTTCGTACATGACTGGCAACACACACGCAGCCGCAAGCTTTCCAAAGAAGGATTTGTCACATGATCACTGTCGCGTGTATGTCTGTCTGCTTTTCAGGTTTGTATAGAAACGCGGCACGCATCTTTGTGTTGCGTTCTCTGGTTTTGCGTAGCCGTAGCCCTAAGACAAGGATCCTCGCTTCCCAGAAGTACCTTTGAAACCGAATCATGATTGTTTCCGGTACTCCCATTAACTGAGACGTGCTGAGACATACGTATGCATTCAAGGCCGGGTGGTGAATCAGCTCCTGCATGCACCAATTGCCGCTGGGTCCGCAATAGGGTGGTTTGGGGATCAGTGACCGAATGTCTCCTGAACTTCATGTTTCTGCTTTCGCTTTTTTGTTGGGTTTGTGAGTCTATGGAGTCTATGGCACTTACCAGGGACTAGGGAGCAGGGAGCAGCATGCTGCTGAAGGCTGCTTGCCAGCAGGGCTTTCCCCGTAGGCTTTTGATTGGGTCAAATGACAATAAACCAGGTCTGTTAAGATGTATGATAAACATCTGAAAAGACTTGACATCAACAGGCCTCAATGAGGAATGCCATGGCGCCATAGAAATTGCATGTCATGCATCATATGGCATACCTCCAGACTTTAACTGTAGCGGTTGAGCGGAATCTTTCACAAGACCCGGCTGTTCAAGCTTGGAAGGTGCGCATTCCGCAGGCAAAGCCTAGAGTCATGCTGTGCAAGTTGGATAAGCTTGGTCTGTGGAGTTGGTCTGCTGAGACGTGCTGCCACCTACCGTGCTAGCTCATCAATCAGATTCATGATGTCACCCTTTCATTTCAGGATTTCACAGGCCGAAGGGTTCATGAACCCTATCACCACTGACTGGATAAGGCCTGGGTAGAGCACAGGTTGCCAGATCGTTCGTGCTCTGGTACAAAAGCTCCCACAGATAACAACCAAAGAATGGTTAAAGTTGGCATAAGTTGGCCATCTGAACAGGCTTGGACAGAATGTGTTACACGTCAGGGTTCATGTGTTTTTCAGGACATTTGCACAAGTGCCGCCTAGCGGAAGTACCTTAGCCGATGTAAGCAGAAGTTCGCGCGAGAGTGGGATGTAGGGTGAAAATAATTACCAAATTGATTTTGGGCTAATTTGAGCTACCGTATACCATGATTCTACAAGGAATCTCGGATAATGATATTGGCAGTTTCAGCCGAGCAGGACCGCTTCTTTGACAAGCATCCCGTGGGTCGTATCATGAACCGCCTGACCATGGACATGGCAACCATCGACCTCTATTTGTACATGAAGGCATGGTTTAGTGCTTGTAGGCGTATACAGGGGAGATATAGGGATAGTGGAAAAATTGGAAACCACTGCTTTGTAATCGGCCCTATTATCATGTAGTAGTACCCATTTTCCATTATCTCTATATAACCCCTATACTATAACAGGGCATATGTATATGCATATGTATATAGGGATTATGTACATATATATATATAAGTATAAATATATACATATATATATGTGCGGTCACACCCCCCCCCTCCCCCCAAGAACTACCCAAAAGTTGAAACCACTGTAAATCGGTGTTGTCTAGCTTTTTTGCAATGTCGGATTTTGATTCATTGCTTACAGTTGCTGAATGCATTGAGAATTGTGTCTACATGATCCCAAACACGAAAAACCAAGAGACCACCAAGAAACCAACAAACAAAAAAAACGAAGAACCAAAACACAAAAGAACCGAAAATTGAAAAGGCAAAACATTTGGGGAGGTCTGGGCTCGGGTCATTTTTTTTGGCGTTTCGTTTCGCCTTGGCCTGCCTTTGGCCAGTCTCTGTTGTAAGGTAAACTAAGAGCCACAACCACAAAAACGGCCTTTCAATTGTTTTAGATTCTAAGGCAAACCAAGCACCAACAATCAACAATTTCCCGAGCCCAGATCTTCCCAACAGTTTCTTTGTTATCCTTTTTATTTCAAGTTTTTGGTATCGGTATTTTATTCTTTCTAGAACAGCCTTCTTGTTACATGAACGTGCTATTCTAGTAGTAGCCCTCTTCCCAAAATGTATAACGTGACCGTACTACATGTGTTTTAGCAATACTTTGAATACTACCACGAATGTGAATACCAATGCTACTACTAAAGCTAATAATGCTAATTCCTAAAGCCAGTATTGATGCGAATGCTAATTTTAATCTTCATACTAACACTAATACTAGTTGATAATATTTGATACTGATTGATACCGATAATCATAGTTTACAGTACTAGTACTATAAGTATTTGATACTGATATTAATAGTAAGGCAAATATTGATACTGTTATTCATTTTAATGTACTATTTGAGTACTGATGTTGGTATTCGCATATAAAGAAGGACATCAATTTTCATATTACTATCAATTTTCAAATTAATACTAGTGTTAATGATGAAATTACATATACTTATCTTGCTATCAGTATTTGATACTAGTACTAATATCAATACTCAGATACATACGAATACGAACGCCAAGCACACAATAGTAATGCTACCATATTCATACTTATACTACTACTAGTATTAGCCATTATACTCATATGCATTTTCATGTTTAGGTTAAGAATATTCCCTATACCAATTAGGTTTGCTATATCCTAACACTGATAGTACATTGATTTTCGCATTCAAATTACACATTACTATTCATACTAGACATAATGTATATATTTGTTACCACATATTTCTAAGACCAACACTTTGACAATAATCAAATGGGCCGTAGTATTAATATTAGTACCAAGATACACACGGATAGTAATATTCATAGAGATACTGAGTCTATTCAGAATAACAGCCTCAATCATGAAACTAATGCAAATACCAGTACTATGAGTAATATGAATATTGATATTAAGAATATTAAGACACCACCAACATTAATATTAAGAGAGATATTAACACTTGATATTGCTACAAAAGATGATGCTAATATAGATGCTCAATTAGTAAAACGCATTACTTATATGTTCAAGAATTACGCATATTAATGTTACCAATACTGCTGTCAACAGGATTACTATTAATATTCATGCAAATATAAATACACATATCTATATTAATGCTCAGAGTATTACATATGTTAACAATGCTACTAGTACTTAATATTCATGTTAATATTGATTTTGGTAATATACAGGTACTAAAAACATTACAGAAATCAGAGATACCATGAATACTTGATAGGAATATTAAGACTAATAGTACCATTAACCCTAGTATTAATACCCATACGAATGCTTATGTTCATCATACTGCAAAGAAGACTGTTAATACTTGATTTTAGCATTGATGCGACCATTTTTTGTATTAGTATGAATAACAGTATGCATATTTGAATTGGTACTGATACGAATATCAAGTCTCATATTTGTATTGACATCGGTATTATACTGTTACTCATGATCATATTGAGACGAAGACTAGTATTACCAATAGTATTAATACCAATGTTCATACTAAGGATTTGTGCCTTCCCCGTCGCCCCATTTCCCAAGCATTACATTATCATAGGGTATATATGTATATACATGGTTTAAATTAAAGCTCCGATGTTGAAGATGTAGGCAGGCAAGAAGTCCGGCACCCCTCTCCTCCACACCAGGAGCTGTGTTGATATAGGGATAATGGAAACTACTATAGTATAATAGAGGTTCATAATGGGGGCTATTATAGGGATTATTATAGGGACAATGCAAAAGAAAATGGAAACTACTACATTATTATAGGGATTATATGAGGAACATATGGGATAATGCTTGCCTGGCATTTGCATTGCAGCATCTGTTCCTCTCTTTCAGTTAGAGCATGCTCAGATTGTACTGACAGCATTCTGTCCGGGCAGAGTCAGGGTGCGGCGCTCCCCTCAACACAAGCTTGACATTCAATCTTTGAATGCTAGGCCGGAGGGTACCCTGCTTGGTTTTGGGCAGGTCTCTGGGAGCGTTATGATCCTCTTCCAGCCCCTTGGCAGATGGAGCTACAGACTCGCATCACGTCCCTCTGCAGTTCTACAGTAGGCGTTCAATGCAACCCCAACAGGCTCAGCACAAAGCCTGCGATCTGCCCGGAAGCATGGTACGGAAGCAACGTGCTTGCTGTTGGAGCCAGCCAGGACACTGGTGCCTTTGGCGTACATCCACTTCATTATGCCCTACTACATGTCCGCCATTGCGCTGCCATTCTATTATGTGGTCTTCCAATTGTGCTTTGGACTGTTTCATTTGCAGTTCACCTTGTGTTCGCCAGCCGACGCTTTGAGCAGCTTGCGATTCTGATGCACTTGACGAGCAGAGCCCCCCATGAATCAAGAGGGAGGGACTTGTCCTTGCAGCGCAGTGTGCTGATCTCTGACAGGCAGGAGACAGAGGTAGCAGCAACTAGAGACCTAGAGGCTGCCCGTCATGGCTGCATCCAGGTATCTTCGCTACCAGAACACGGCGGTGCCCCTGCGGTACTGCTTCAAGACTTCCTCTTCCATCACCCAGAGTCATCTGTCAGATGCACCTTGGTAGCAGCAGCGCACTGGACGAAGTCTTGCATGCAGAAAAGTACGTGTTACTTGGATTGACCCTCTGGTTCGAATTTTTCTTCTGAGCTTTCTGTGAAGCGGCATTCTAGGCTTAAGTGCAAGGTGATGACAAACACTGTGGTCGTCCGCGGGTTCGGTGAGCAGAATCGCGTTGCATGTACGTACGCTGCCACTTGGCGGCTATACCTGTCTTTTGCAGTGTTGCTAGGGCATGCGCTGGTTCTTCAATGTGGTGCCCAGTGAAGTTGGGAAGGTTGCAAATGAGGTTAGAGTTTGATGTATGTGTTGGCAGAGTCCCAGCCCCAAAATAGTGTTGTTCACATTGAACGCAGGCTTGCGTGGACAACTCCGTGAAGGCCTTTGTATTCGCAAGAGAATGTTTTGCTGCAGTAAAGCTTGCTGGAGGAATTTTCCATGGTGAAAGGTGCGAATCTGTATGGGCTAGGGTGAAGATCATTCGGTGCTTGGCAGAAGGTACATATCATTTCAGCCTCCCTGAGATTGTAGTGGTAGCAATTGCAACTGATAGCACGCGTGGCAGGATGCAGCTTTGCCAGTAGCCCTGCAAGGGGGGACGAGCGTAAGGCATCTCTTGGTATGATTTATCGTTGCGACATGTCGCGACCTTGCCACAACACCAGATGAAATAAAGCTACTATAACGACCACGGCTATGGTTAGCACAAAGCATTTGAGCTCCACTCGTCTATGCGCGCTGCAGCACATAGAAGCAGGCAGACCTGACGGATGATCGGCTGATGAAGCGCTGGCTGTGCAATCGCGTGAATTACCTTTGGACTTTCTACAACTCCGTGGCTTGGAGAGAATTGTATGCAAAGCCTGAGGGATAAAGACGGATCCTTCCTTGGTGTAACAACTCAGTAGATAGCTTTGTTGAATAACACGGCGAGGAAAGTTCTGGAAACTGAGTGTCCCTGCTCTGAGAACCACTTGCTCAACCAGGCACATGTATACTGCCACTAACTCCCAGAACTCTCGTTCAAGCCTCACGCCATTCCCAAGATCACCTACATCATCGGCCTGTACAATGCTTCGTGGCTGGGTCCAGGCACGCTGGGTATCGCTCTGATGCTTGGCTTGTACCTGGCTTCGGTTGTTGCATGGAGGAATCCCAGCATAATACTGCCACCATGAAGATGCTTGTTGTGATCGGCAGCCGGTGGTAAGCCTGATTGGCGAAGAACGCGATACATTCTCAACATTTAGATGCAAACGCGGGCTGCTAGCGATTGTTCGAATTTGCAACGACAGATAGAGCTACAAAGTTCAATTGCCTCGCTTGGGATTGTCGGGAGTAGGACTTAGCTGCTTAAACTGCAACCCTTCTCGGCAGGCTTACGGCAAGTAATTAATTGGCAGCCAAGGGAATCAAAGTCTTTCATTCCGAATTAACATGGCCGCGCATTGCACCATGAACGTACTACGTGCTGCATGTATGCCCGGTATAGATCCGTGATATACCGTGCTCTGCGAAAGCGCTCCCTTTCTGAAACATTCCGCAACTGAGAAGAACCAAGGACCAACTTGCTGCTGCTTGAGCCGCATGGTCGAAAATGTCACGAATGCTGTCCAGAGATCAGGGTTTGCGTGGTTGGATGTACTGGTGGCAGGTAGTGGGAAATGGGGGAATACGTCCCCACAGCAACCCCTAAAGAGGAGTACAGGACAGGTAACAAGTAGGTATCGCAACTTGCAGCCTGCCAGGATACTAAGGGGTAGATGGATAGATGAGACACGCAGACTTTCAAGATGAGCCTGCGTGGGGACCCAGATTCAGGGTTCGGGGCCTGAGCCTTTTCTTGGAGCTCCAGTTATCTTGGAATCCGAAGCCCTGAATTTAAGGATAGCTGCACCTCATAGGCTGGCTGACCCTGATACATTAATCCTGATGGCCAAGAATGAGCCCCACAGTCGCAGATTTTTCAAATACAATCCAGAAGATCATCCCGCTATTTTTGCGTGTGCCCAGCTCTGGTAAAATTCCATGCCACCCGCATCCGCGCACGACCTTGATGTGGTCCCCCCACCGATCATGAAGGACTCCCTCTGTAACTCCATGCGCTGCCAGACTTTGCTTCTAAACTTTGCGTTCAAGCCCTTCCAGCCCTGCTCCGCCCTCCCAGCCCTTCCTGCAAGCTCAGAACCTAAACCAGGCCCAAGTCTCTAACTAATCCTGCACCTGATCCAGAGATGTGCGGAGTATCCCGTGTATTGCTCTACAGCTGTGCAAGTGGCAAAAGTAACCTCAAGGGATGGTGTGCCGTGCCCGAAGTGTGATGCGTCTTGAAAGCCAGCCACAAGGCCCCCACTTATGTCAAACATACTCCTATGGGGTCCCTATATGGAATCCATGTACAATCTCTATCTTATTTCAAATAGGGATCCATGCATCAAAGGACCATGATTGAGCCGAGCCTGGAGATGATGGCGGGAGCCCTCTTCGAGCTCATTGCCCTGGCCCGCGTGCACGAATACACCTCAGCACCTGGGCCCTCACATAACGTCGTTTCTGTTGTTGCATGTGGTATATCAACGGTTTGCTTATGACTTTAGCATAAAGGGCCCATACTGGGTGCTAATAGGCTTTTCGGAAGGGTTCTGCCTAGGGATGAGCTGAGAGTTCAGTAGATTTATAGCGTTCGGATGGGGTTGTGCAAATCGCAGAGGTACCTGCATGTAGGACTGCGGATTTGAGATTATGCACGGCGACCCGGATGTTGAGAAGTACACCGTCAGATGTGAATCCTTAGAGCAGTGAACAGCACTTCCCACCGCAGGGCTGCTTATGATCACAGTGAGGGAAGCTTCCTCATTCTCCAAGCTTGAAGAAGTTTGCTAAAAGCTGGAATGAGCATTGCTTTTTGGGCTACATTCATGTGATGTGGACGCTCCTCAAGTGCTCGTTGCATGGTGCTGTGGACGTGTGCTTTCGAATCTATGTGCTGTACAGGTCACACAGGAGAAGGCCATGTCCACTCCAGAGGACGCGGGCTCGCAGACCTGACTTAACAGCTGCGGGTTCTGCTGGGTGGGCCTCATGTTCAGTGCCCGCCATGGCCTGAGGGAGCAGCACAGGGAGGCTGATGCTCTTGCATGTGAGCTGCGGGAGGACGCCAAGTTGCGCAACTACTCGGTACGCTTCTTCCGGAACAATGCTACTCCGATGACTGTTCGCGTTCCTTGGACTGATCACTGATGGCTTTTGCAGCATGTTTGGGATGCATCCGATTGTCGACTGGAATCTGATGAAAAGGCAACCTAATCCTTGAGCTAGCATAGCCATGTTGTTTGAATTAGTTTCCCTCGCGTCCAGTAGCGGGCTCCGGTGTACGTAGCGGCTATTGTTTTGCAGGCATGACAATCAAATGCAGGTGTGACAATCCAATGCACAATCTGTGGTCCCAGTTTGCTAACCTTTTGCAGGAGGCAAATGGCAGGGTCGAGGTTCTGGCGAGACTTGGCTGGCAGATATGTGACACGTGTACCTGGTGCATACTTTGAGCTTGCAGTGGCGGAGGTAGACAGTGCCAGGAATGTATGCAGCAGATAGTGCTCCGCCCGAGGAAGGGCTCGGTCTTGCTTCATTCAACGCCCGACGGTCGATCGTTGATGTTGGCAGACAATGGCAGTGACTGCCACATTGGCCGATTCCAGGCATGTTGGAACGGCTTGATTGCTCAGTCTCCAAGGTTTGTGGGGCAAGAAGTGAAGGCTGAGCAGCCAACACTAGAATAGCAATTTGGCAGGAGTTGTGCACCAGCTGCGCGGAGCTGAATCGCATCCCCAGCCTGCACCACATCGTGGCAGTCAACGATGCTGTCGGATGTGCGCTGCTTGGCCAATCTGTCTTATTCTACATTGAGGTTCGTCAATTTCAGCGTTTGCATATACCCCCAAGATTATGTCCCAAGCAGCCTTACACCCTAAAGCAAGGCCTTGAAGATCATCAGTCCATTCTGCGGATGACATGTTTACACAGGATTCGCGTCGTGATGTAGCGCATGTAGGCTTCATCAACATGATGCGACAAAGCCTACGCTGCACGGAGGAAATCTTGCACCACCTAGGGACCCCATGATGTTATATTTCCTAGGGTATGGGACATATGAGGTGGTACACGCTATGCATGTCCGGTTTGTGCTTTTTGAACAACATATGTATCATCTTGGGAAAGATGTAAGAACCAGGAAGACCCCCAGCTAGCAGAAACAAACTTGTGGAAAGCGAGCTAAGACCAACTTCCCATAATCACAGTGACTTTCCATATTCCCTGTCCATGTCTGAGCCCTGCATCGTTTTGACTTACGAGATTAGGGCCAGAATTCGAACAGCATTTTTACACTTCCATGTTGAGATTGTAGCCACCGTTTGTCCTGCAAGACCCCTTACAAAGTCCTGAGAGTGAATGTAGAGACATCATCTTTTTTTCATACATCATTATTTTCAACTTCATGTGGTAGGCACCTATTCGTATTGGCTGGCTGTCCACCATGTACACATTGAAGAGATCTGATTGGCTCCATGGCCAAGGAAGGAGATTGCGCAGGAGCTCTGCAAGAATCCCCGCAGCTTCATGACGGTGGGCCAGTCATATGAGCTATAGTCTACACTCCTTACAGGGGGTTACATAGGGAATTGTATAGAGGACTTCTACGTGGGTTGCTAAGGGGGATGCTAGGAGTTCAGACTATGGCTCATGTTAAGCTGAAATGTGAGGGAAAGCTCTTCATGTACTCTTTGTCCTGAATCCTAGCAAGTGCTTGTAGGGACCCCACAGTCACGGGGTTGACGTCATAGTAAAGAAATTGTCCACGCAAACTGCAAGCTGTTCCTATGCTACTTCAATTCACCATTCAAGTTGAAGATTGCTGTTGCAATCCGGAAAAAGCAACGGAACTAAGGCAACCTCAGCCTCGCAGTTTTTGTGTTCCGGCAGATAGCTCTGCGCATGCATGCTATTTCGAATTATGCGATCCTGCCTTCCAAGCCAGAAGGAAGTTTCAGGAAGCGTAGGCCTCGTGCCTTGGTCTGCTGGAGTTTCAAGCCCGAAGCTTTGAGACCCCCGAGCTGAGAATGGCCTCGCGTCGAATGTACCCTTCAGGGTCCCTAGAATCCCCCTAAAAGGCCTCAGGGAGGTTTGTTTTGGCAAGTTGTTTAGATTGTGAGTTCGCGTTCACATCCTGGCGCCAGGCTACAGGCTTCACAACCCAACCGCAGGCATCGCTGCTTTGAGTGGTAGAGATAGGGCCACACGGTGTGTTTCTTTCTGGTTTTTGGGGAAGGTGCTCTGATGCAACACGTACAGCTTCGTGGTAGATAGAGTGGAACTGAGCTCAAAGATGGTCACTTCTTTTCCATTTACGGACAGCTCTGCTCTGCTGTGACTACAGAAGTGTTCTTGATTGTCAGACATCCAGGTCTTGAGGGTATGAATTCTCAAGCAAAGGCACCATGAGCCTTGTGTTTCAAACCATGACCTCGTAAGTGCCACGAAGCAGTCGCTCTTGTTGTGGAAGAGGTTGTCGTCGAGTTTCAGAGCAGCTGGCTTTCTGATGGAGCACGCCTGGACATCCAGGCTGGCCTTGTTCGGTGGGAGCATTGGGAAGGTTCGGCATGCGCGAAGAGAGTCACGAGTTTGTGTACAGTAACATTTGGTTCAACGAATTCGGCTTCGCGTCCTTTTTTTTTTCTGCATGCGTTAGGTTGAGAGAGAGAGAGAGAGAGATATGGGATCATTCGCTAGGACCTCGAATTCTTGGGGGATCGGTAGGGGGATTACTTCGGACCTTGGCGGTGGACCGGACGGACTGTGCGCCGGGCTTAGGGCGCAGCCTCGGCACTGCTTTCAGGGAGTGCATAGACAGTAGAAAAAGAAGATGCGGGATCAGGGTCAGGAACTCCAACCCTTCCTCATCTGCGTATGTCAATAGTTTGACGCAGGAAGTGCTATGGGGTGCAACCCCAGCGCATCTTTTTTCAGCGTATCCTTTTAGGATTGCCTAGAACAAGAAAAAGATGCCGACAATACGCGCTGCATTTGGCGGCAATTAGGTCATTCCAGCTGTCAACGCCCGCATGAAAGAAATGAAGAGACGGTGCGTGATTGAGAGCGTGTAACATGTCGAGAGTGATGAATGCTGGCTTCGAGCAGAGCATTAGAGCTATAGTGCAGCAGGCTTGAGCTGTTACACATGAGTATGACCAGCGAACAGCAAGTAGGTTGCTGGCGTGAGAAGTCAGATCCTCGCGCTTGTTTGAGCCGTGCTCGCTATAGGCTGTCTCCCTGAATGCCCTGAGGAGCTGCGCGCGGGCTACGCTGAGGTGCCTCAGGCCATCAATTTGAGACACAATTGCTAGGAAGTTGTGTGCAGAGTTCACAATCCACGCCCTTGATTGACTTCACCATGGCCAGCCCCTGCGTGTGCAGGATGTGCTGAAGGGCGTGACCTTCAGCGTTGAGCCACGCATGAAGGTGGCAGTGGTGGGCACTTCGGCAGCCGCCAGAAAATTATGACTTTCTCCAGTGCCTGGCTTGGCCTGAACCACAAGTTCCGCTGCACGAGCACATCGCACGCGTCATTTGACAGTAACTTACACCGTGCTGATGAATCAACATGCCTGGTGTTGTTGAGGCACTACTGGCTGTGGAAAGTCCAGCATGTTGTGCCTCGGCAAGGTTGAGGCCAGAGAAAGACGGCCTTGAAGAGGTGATGAGAATCACTGCCTTTGTCGTCATTCGAGAAGATTCGAGTTTTAGCCTGTTCTGGTTTCGGGAGGTGCTTGTGCTTTCTTTGTATCAGCGAGCCGCGCAGAAAATTATCCTGATGAGGTTGGCCCTGCTTCGCATCATTGAGCCACGTGGGGGAAAAATCGTCATCAACGGCTCCTGGGCATGATGCCAGTCATCGGAAAGGTAGGGCAATCCTGGAGTTAAGGTTGCCGCGATTTTGGCTGTAGTTTCGGCCCCTAGAGAAAAGGAGAAAATCCATTGTGCAGATGCTGCAATATCAGACTATCAGAATTTGGTCAAGATGTGCCGTACTCATTGCATGGTACTTCATGGTGCCAGGGGCATTGCATCTACTCATCTACTCGAGCCTGCATACCAGCCAGATCTGACTTGGGCGATTTCGTTCTGCGGGCTGCCTAGGCATCGACACGCAGGAAATCGGCCTTGTCGAGAGCTCAGCCAATGTTTTGCTCGAGAGGGATGTCTTGGGTCCTAGTATGGTTATAAATTATAAATCTTGTGATCATGCAGGGATTTGCTGTTCAGACCTGATTCACCACATGCAGGCTCCTCTCTGCAGGAGCTGCTTGAGCAGCATGGGGCGATTTCCTAAGGGAAGTATTCCCGTCAAAGGTCTTGGCAGGGAGCTCCGATTTCGGGGATTTTGATTTTCTGCAAGTGGCATACTGTCCCGTGTGTAGAGCCCATCCGCGGCCCAAGAGGGCTTTTGGGTTTCCATGTGATGACTCAAGCTGCCAAGGCGACTTTGCGAAGCTCGCTCGGGCTGGTTCCGCAGGAGGGCCTTTGCTGTCAACTTCTAGATGCGGTTTCCTGCAAAGGTATTGCTGATTGCGCCCGCAGGACTTGCAGTCAAGGTGAAAGCGTTAGCCTTTAGCGGAGCTTGGGTTTGCGTTTGCGTTTGCATACCATGGCTGCCAGCACATCGACTCCTGAAGCGCCGCTGAGCCCGATCGCACTGGACATGGATGATCATGACGATCAGTCTTCTGGAGATGGAGACATGGTGGGCCACCGTCCCAGCGTGGGCAGCGTTGGCAGCCTGGGTAGCGTGGGCAGTGTCACAGGCTCGTGGGGCTTGAGCTCTGTTTCTTCGGCACAGTGGCGGAGCCGCTTGTCCCGGAAGGCCCGGGACTGCTCCTGGAAGCTATCATACCAGGACCTCCAGCTTGATCAGGAGTTGAGCCAGACATTGAAGAGCAGTGTCCACTTGGGGAAGTGGAATGGTACCAAAGTGGTGATCAAGACCTTACTACCGGTTGCAGCAAAAGACAAGGATGGTGTGGATACAGCAGGTACATGCGTTGCACTTACCGATGAACTCTTGCATGAGATCGAGACCTTGTCCTCAATGCGCCACCCTGACCTAGTGATGTTCCTCGGAGCGTGCTTTGACGCGAACAAGCCTCTAGCATGTGTCATGGAGTACATGCCTGGCGGTGACCTGCAGCGGTACTACCAAACGAAGCGCCAGAAGCATCAGGTCAAGCGTCGCTCAAAAAGGGCTTAGATTTTCATGGTAAAGCCTGATGATATGACAAGGAATGAATTGCTAGGAATAAAGAGGGCTCGTATCGCCTGAAACCCGAAACCTGAACTGAGAGCAACAAAAGGGAAACCAAACCTCGTAGTGCCTGTTCCATGAAGGTCGCATACTGGCACCCAAGCCTCTACCAGGTGGTGCAGTGGGCTTTGTCCGTAGCCCGCGCTCTTAGCTTCCTGCATGGTCGAAATGTGCCCATCATCCATCGTGATCTAAAGCCTCTCAATTTGTTGCTTAACAGCCACCTGGATGTGAAGGTTGCGGACCTAGGCATCAGCAGAGGCGCAGCGGATGAGGAATGTGAGGGCTTCAAGATGACGGGTGGAATTGGCACCCTGCGATACATGGCTCCGGAAGTGGTCTGTCACCAAGGTTACAATGAAAAGGTCGACATTTATGCCTTTGCCTTGATATTGTACTTCATGAGCTCAGGGAGGGAGCCTTTCCACGAGTTGGGAAGCGACCCGGAACGAGTCCTGCAGCAATTCAAGGACGGTTATCAGCCTCGGCCTCCTACCTCTCACTGCCACAAAGGGCTCCGCGCAGTCACTTGCTAGCTTAGTACTCCTTTATCCTGACCTGATCCGGTTGATAACAGGAAGGGACTTTTCCACCTGGTATCTGTAAGGGCTTCACTGCCAACCCAGGTTATGGCTTCTGCCTGGTCTACAGTGCCATCTGAGCGACCTGCTGCCCATAGTATGCTTGCACAGCTGGAGGACTTGGAGGGCCACGCACGGCCGGCCTGCCTCTGCGCGCAGATGTGAAGCGCTTGAAAAGGGCACCTGCCGCTAGGCGTTTTGCAGAACTGTTTCCTACAGGTTGCGGTTGCAGTTGCGGCTTCTACCAACTGCATCCGCAATTCTCTCTAGGCCTGCCCCGTGAGTTCCAAAACCCCGGGCAGGGAGACTTTTCTAGATTTCTAGGATGGCATTGCCATGCACCGTTCTCATTGGTGTGATGGCAAGTCTTATGCCAACTTTTGATGTGTCCCTGCCAGCCTGAGATACTCTGCTGGCAGCTTGACGCGCTTGCATGCTGGCCAGTGGAACTTCATGTCGCGGGCTTTATGAGAGCCAGTTAGGGCTCCTGCCGCATGTCTTCAATCAATTTGCATTCCCAGCCTTTTCGTTGTACGGCATCATCCATTCCGCTACGAGTTGCGTGGCGCTGCAACCGACAGAAGCCTTGTTCATCAATGCGTTCGGTGCAAGAAGGCTCCGTGAAATCTGACTAGCTCTGTTTAACATGCCGCTGGTCTAGGTTTACTTGCCCTCGTGTGCGCTCCTTTCCTTCCACGTGCCGCGAAGGATCCCATGCTCTTCACCGGCACCTTGCGACACAACTTGGATCCTTTCAAGGCTCATTCGACTTCAAGCATGGTTGCCTTTTCAAGCTCGATGACTTATGATGGTGCCCAAGCAAGAGTTGCAGTAGACCTTTAAGGGGCTGGCTGCAAGCCAACCGTCTTACGTAAGGGAAAAGCCTTTAGGCTTAGCGAGACGTCTTAATGGTCAGATGTTGGCCCCGAGACCACTATGTACAGGTCACCATGATACAACGTAATACCGGTGGGAGATCTCAGCCTAGGTTGTTGCTTCCATAAAGCCCAATTACGAGATGGGACTGGCAAGCACTTTGTGTTATGAGTGTAGCAAGTTGGCAAGAAATCGGTCATAGTTAGAACTATTGCTTCAAAGGGGCGTCATGCAGCTCCGGCCAGCAAACTTCAGTCCCATGCCCTGAAGCACACAGGTTTACACTGACGGTCGCATCCGGACTCTCAGACTGCAGTTGTGCCCCCGACTCTTGCACGTTTGCCATGTTGGGCCTGATCAAGCTCCTTGATGAAGGGGGCCCTTGGGGTTCACCCTTCGTTCTGTGCATTTTTGCTGTTTCAGTCCACGGCGATGAAGGGGTCCTTTCTCACGAAGTACGCCTGTTCAAGACACCCGCGAAGGCCAAAACCTAGGAATGGCCCAGCGGATTTTGTTTCATGAGTGCTTTTGGCCAAAGCGGCCTTGAATATTGCCGCCCAAGACTCAACTCTGAATTTCACTGGCTTCTCAGGAAGGCTGTGCAGTATGCTCACCTGGAGGCCTTCGTGAATACATTGCCTCTTGGTATCTTGGCAGCACTGCCCGGCGGTCAAGATCAATTGTCACTTGTCCTCTCCCATTATTCATCTTGTTGGTGCACTCCCTTCTCATTTTATTCGATGATGCATCTGCTTGCTAGCTGTTGTAATCAAACAACTCCAGTATCTTGTTTGAAGCCCTTTTTCAAAAACTCTCATAGTTTTGCGTATGACTGACACTTCCACTCATACTCTGGTGAGAAGCGACTTGTTCATCTACCGTTCGAACGCTCTTCTCCCTTTGCCGCCCGTAGCGGAAGGAACGTTGTGGTAGCTCGTGGAAATGTAGCGAGGCCTTGACCACGTGGTGTCGGACGAAGGCCTCGGACCGCAACAGCTCACTTCCAATCGGACCAGCTTCGTGAACATTCCTGACGTTTGGGATGTGTGTTTCTAAGCCCGACAAGGACAGTGTGAGTGGGGGGTTGGGCCGGATGTCTCCGCGCCAGCTTGACATCACTTGTGTGAGTGCTTGGGAGGCACAGATAGCCAGAAAGGCAAAAGAAGGACCAACCGCTATGCAGCTATACACTACTCGCCCATCCTGAACACGCACACGCACACGCACACGCACACACACACACACACCCACACACACACACACTCAAAGACAATCTAAAACAAGAGTGTCGCGCATCACGAAGCGGAGACGACTCAATTCCGCGTACCTAAGCTTCCTGGCAGGCGGCAACCTCAGCTTCGGCCAGAGACAGCTGCTCTGCCTGGCGCGCATGGTCTTGAGGCAGCCACAGATATTGTGAAACTCGAAAATCTTTTGTCCGTGGGTCCTTGCAAGAAGTTTGATAGGAATGTGGAAGCTCTGCATGCACGCCCGTCTGCAGCGACGGCGCCGTGTTTTTTTAACCACGTGTTGGAGGGCTGGAAGTTCACCACAGTTGAAAGCGATCTGGCAGGCAGCCGGCTTTGCTGTTGCTGGACGAAGCGACATCTGCTATCGATCCAGCTACACAGGACGTGAAGAGTAATCGTAGACGTTGGCCAGTAATGGCGAGCAGCTGCCTTAGCCATTCGCAGCCATTGTGCTTGCAGAGTGGGCGGCTTGTGTTCAGTTTTTGATCCGTTCTCGGGGCTACGACCAGATCCTGGTCTGTTTGTTCCAGACGTTCTATAGGCTGGTAAATGACCTTGACTTCCCGAAACAGCCCGGCAGGAGTCCGTCCAGGATACCATCAACCATGCCTTCCCCAGCTCAACCATGCTGGCCGTGGCCCACCGTTTGGAGACGATCATGGAGTGCGAGCCTCATGGGCTGGTGGGGCTTGGGTTTCATCAGGGCCTCAGGGCAGCGCACGGGTTTGTTCCGTTACAACTGGAAGTGTTATCTTACATCGGCTCGGTTTTTTTATGCGAGTGAACATCTACTTGGGAAGCCATGTCTTAGGCTTGGCTACTGCTTCACGACATGATCGGGAAAATGTTGTTTATGACAGTGTCTACATGCCGTTTGGCGATTTCAGCGTGACATCCGGGAGTCTACTAGCGTTGCTTTGCTCTGTTTGTTCTAAGTGTGTTGAGTCATGGCGCTCACATGTCCGATGTTTCTTTCCGGAATCACTATCCAGAAAATCCAGTTTTTATGCGCATACTGACTGCCGGGGGGGCTAGTGTTGGGGCTTCGGGTCTTGGGGGATTGAATCACGTCAAGAATTCCGCTAGGACGGACCCCATTGGGAACACATGTTTTTTTATTACTCCGTATCCGGGTTCATCCTTGGCCTACCCTCCAAGGTTCTGCCTGAATTAGCTGCAGCTTCTTGTGGTGGGGCTGACGATTCTGGGGCTTGTGGCCTATGCAAGCCGGTATGGTGGAAACTTCATTACAGCAGCGATTCTAGTGTTTATTTTTCGCGTCCTTATGGGGGTCCTTGTAGAGGCCTTATGTTGTTGTGGCGTGTGCTGACCAATTATTCCTCTGCCGTGCGAATACGCGTGCATAGCAAGAGTTTTTGGTCCCAAGACTATTGTGATTTAGACCATTTTAGATCGTGGCTCCCAAGCGCAGTACTTTGAGGTTTCACAGGCTGGCTAGTAGGCTAGTATAGCATGCGTGGGCTCCTATGCTAGCATGGCTGCCAGCTACAGCCGCAGACTGGGTGATAGCTGCTTTTGGAAGTACGTAAACCGTTGTGGATTCGGATCAGAAAAGACATGCGCATCTAGAATACCCAGGGCCAGCAAAGTGATTCGGCACTGGAAGGTAAGGTCTGCGATGGCCCAGATTTTCTGATGTGTGCTACAGGTAACCTTTCGATAATCCCAAAGCTGCTTTTGTGTCAATGTCGCTTGGCTCTTGGCGTGAAACATCCTTGGCCCTTTAGAGCCTGAGGTTTGACCAAGTGCGGCTCTCAGATGGACGGTTCTGCCAGACAGGAATGCCCACGAGGAAGTAGATGCGTGCATGCTTCTCAATAAGCAAGGGCCCTCATTCAGCAACACCTTTCCTCGGGCAGTCTGAGCTGACGCAGGTCGTGGTGCTGGATTCAGGGAAGGTGGCAGAGGAGGCGAGACTAGTCTTAGGAGGTTGGTCTTTCTGTCCGAGATTTGATGTGTGAAGTTTCGAACTTTTGTGCTACCCACATGTGCCCGGGAGGGATGGAGCACACAGGATAGAAACCTACTGGCCTGAGCAATCTATGCTGCACAGACTGCGTCGTTCTCAGGCAGAAGCAACATCTTGAAGCCCAGAGCCCTTCGTTTTTCATCCCAAGCAGCAAAACTTGGCAGGGACCGGTGAAGGAGGTGGCAGCCAAACCCAACGGCATCTTCAAGCGCCACTCAGTTGCTTTGGGTGTTCATTGGTTCAGAATCGGATGGCAAGGCCCTACGCCAGGGACCAGGGACTTGGGAATCAGGACGGAGTTTAGGTTCGATTAGTTTTCAACTTTGTGGACCAAGGGAAGTGCAGCGACACTGATTCCTCCTTTCAACCCTGGAACATAGTTCCATACTAATTAGCATGCCGCACTGTGCCCAGGCATGCTGGATGCGAAGGAGCTGCTTGGCCGTGCTAGATGGGTGACTTTGGGCTTTCTGCCATTGTATCGCAATTGGCACTGTGGCGCTGTGCCTCCTCTGCCTGTGATTTTGCAGCAGCAGCAGCTGCGGCTGCTGCCGCCGCGCTCGCAGTTTTGAGGTCGATTTTTCATGAATACCTGCTGCTGTGCTTGTCCCGCGATCTCTGATGTCAGGACATGACCCATGTCTCTTGATGGAGTGTTCAACACTGATGTCCCTAGTATCAGGATCCGATTCAAAAGGGCCCAGCTTGCCTGCCCTGGTGTCCTTTTGCCTGCCTTGCTGTGAAGATGGCAAGACTCATGTCCCAGCCAGCTGCCTCGGGCTTTCCGGACACTAAACGACCGTAAGACAGCACTGGCCTGTAGTTGCAGGCTGACAGGATGCAAGGTGCCCAGCAAAGGTGGCGTATTGTGCGAGCAGTTTACGGCCAGAGTCTCCTCGATTTCTGCTTGCTCTGAGGAAGTGGTGAACATCGGTGATGCGTCAAGAACAGCAAAAGAGTGACAGCCTCTTTTCGGGCATGCCGTTCAAAAAGGATCTGTTTAGTTTCCATCTCTGCATGCGGTTCTTGCCCGAAGTGGCGCGGACGAGACTGCTTCCCACCAGCTAGTTGAAAAGAGGCACGCCCGCTTGCTTCGCAGAGTTGCAGGTAGCAAGCCATGTTGGGTTCAGATGGCAGGTCGTCAACTGCCAGCGACTTGCAGCGTCTACTTGCTGCATTTTCTGCGGTGTGTTGCGGTTGCAAACTTGAGATGTTAGATGCGAGATGACTAAACGTTGCATTTCAGCTCAGACAGCTGCTGAGACAGTTGGGGAATTCAGTCTTTTGTCGCTGGGATGGCAAGCCGCTTGGCTGAGCTCTTTTAGGAAGCTCCAGTTGTTTTAGTCTGAAGGTCGCATTGCTTGCCGGTCGGTTAAAGTTGAAGTATTGCATCTCTGGAAAGCTAGAGTTAGCATGAGGACGAGCTTTCTTGTTAGCTGGCAGCCATGCAAATCTAAGCTGATGATCTTGCATGCTTTCAGCCCCCAACGCCAAACATCCCATCCCAATGTCACGGATCCTCCAACTCAGCATGTTGGTATTGCTTGCTACAATGATCAAGCAGCATCCGGCGCCTCTGCGTGTCATCTAGTGCTAAATTGAAGCAGTACAGCAGTACCAGACGGTGGCATCTCGACCTACTCTGCACTGCTTGTGCTGGAGTTTGCTTGCAACATGAAACCCAAGAAGCCAATACAGGGTTGCCGCTTTCACTACTCGCGTCCATTTAAGGGGGGACCTAAGGGGTTGAGAAGTAGGAAGCCAGGCATCAACCATCATTTGAACAGTCAATCCACTGTTGAAAGTTAGAAGAGGCTGTAGAGTGACTGCCTTGCGACTGGGTTATCAGTCCACCTAAGCCAGCAATAGCCCAAGGTGCCGACTGGGCCCAGGACGGCAGCGGCCAAGATATGAGGCAAAGGCCCAGCCAAGGAGCTCAAATCACAGAGCCGGCGCCTCAAATCTCTTTGCCACCACATGGTGAAGTTCAATGCGTACGCAGTTGCTACTGCCAGAAAGGTTGTGCTGTTGATGCCGTATGATTCGTGTGATTCTTTTCATGTCGTTTGGATATTGTGGGCCTTATCTAGTCTATGTTTCAGCATGCCGAGCTTGTGCTTCTGATTGGTTATTGACCTTGCAGTCATCATGAAAGTTTTGGCGCTGTTGTCGTGGCTGCGTTGCCGCTCTTGTCTTTGGGTGCCTTGTCGTGTCCTTCAGGGTGTCAGATTCCCCTACATCAGTCTTACTGCTGTGGACGCCCCCCAAAAAAAGATATAAACAGTAAGGTATACTGAAACCCCTTTGTTGTGCTTTTGGGTTCCGTTAGAGGTCAGGGTTGTTATCGTCAAAAAAGCAGCAGTGGAAGGCAGGTTCTTTTCGCAACTACAACCTGTGCGAAAGGGGATGTTACAGAGTTGAAAGTCTGAAGACTGTCGCTTCCAAGCTGCTGATTCGTGTTTCATCCAACAGTTGGGGAGACCATGAAGGCACAACAAGCAGATTGTGCCTTGCAATTAGTGCTGACGAACCATGCGGGGTATTTGTGCCGGGGTTCAAATCTCGATGATGCTAAGGTAGCGTTCCTACATGCTTGGCCCTCTTGCTAGTTTGGTTCTCTGGTTAGCATTCCATAATTCTTCCAACGCACCGGCGTCCTTCCGCAAGTGGGTTGATTATGGGGCTTCTGGAATTTCTTCATAGAATCAGAGATTTGCTGTTAGCCGGAGCTTCTGCCACATTTCTGGAGGCATGTCCCTACGCAGTTGTCTTCATCTTGTATCCTCTCTTACCGTCTGGGTCGTCAAGTCGTCGGTGGTGTAAGTGTTCTTATACTCCCTTAGCAGTAAAATGCAGTAAAGACACAGCCTATGCTGAGGCCGCCTCGGAATATGGCGCGGCAGACGACGCAGGAGGTCCAGGAACCTCATCTCTCATCATGAGATAGGGGCTCAGGCTTATAGGGTGTCACCCTCATTTCAGCCTTAGGGCTCAGCATCAGGTTGTTGGAGAGAAACTTCAGGGCAGGAGTCTAGCATCAGGTTAGGGTTTTGGGCCTGGCTTCGGTTTGGCAATCAGGGTTCCTTGAGGGAGACCTTGTGTAAAGAGGCAGACGCCAAAACACAGTGTCTTCTCAGAGCAAGATAAGGTGGCCAAATAAACACTGTGGAAGTGACTGGGAAACCATTGTATGTCAACAAAAGGAAGGAGGTCTTTGAATGAATGCTGCTTGCTTGTACCCGAGGGTTATAAGACAGAGTCCTTCAGCGATATTTGTGTGGTCCATGGCTTTGTTCAGCTCTCCGGGCAAGGATGCCTGAGTAGGATTGCCCCAGGCCCAGAACATGTTTCCTGATTCGGGTCGTTAGGCAAGATGTTGGGCATAGCGCTGAATGCCGGAAACAGTGTCTGCACGTCTCATGCCACACAACGTCTTACCAGCCTTACCAGTGGAAGGCAGCATGTAATGAATGTAATCAGCACTGGGTGAGTCGTCATGCCATCGTTGTAGTTGCCATTGCCAGCACGTTGATTATTTGTAAACGCTATCGCTTGGGGGCAATGAGGGGATGCTCGGGAATGAACATCCAACAAAAAGCTACTCTTGGAAGTCCTGGAATTTCCTTGTTGACTGGGCCGCCAACCACGGGAGGGAGGGGGTTGCCAGAAGTTCAAGGTCTGCAGGGTTCCTATACTGAGTGTTGCCTTTATGATTTCTTCAAGGGAGCTTGTGTGAAGCCGAGGCGCTCTTCGACACACAAATGAGGCCATGTTTGGGACCTGGCCGGAAAAGT